ACTCTTTTTGGAGAAGGTACACTTGCCTCAAGATTGGAAGCATGTTTGCTCCATGTTCTTTGAAGCTTCATTTCAGCAGACACGTTGTTTGTACGTGGTGTGTGTATTCTCAGCACCTCTCTCGTTGAGTTGGGTACCTTGTAATATTTTACTCTGCAATCTTTCACCTTTCTTCTCAGCCAGGTGGGCATCTCCTGCTTGATGCTTTTAACGCCAGCCATCCCCGCGTACTATGCCAACGACTGGCTGATGGTGGCTTCAACCTTTTTGGTGACCTTCACTTCGCTTTGTGCAGACTACCTGTACATCGGCACAGCCGCTGTGCGCAAGTATGAAGACTCGGCCGGTTTGCTTTGTTACTACAGTAGTAGAAATGCCCTTTGTTCCTAATAGCGTCCTTGCTCCTAGTACTAAGGCCAGGAGCCCCTAATAGCGTCCTTGTTCCTAGTAGCGATGCCTTTGTTCCGAGTAGCTTCTGGTTTTGTAATATTTGACTGTCTTAAAGCTCAGCATGGCGAAACTTTCGTTTTGGCACACTTGGTCAAACGCCTGACCCGCCTTGAAATTCCATGCCCGAAGCTCCGAGGTGTGGAACGTCATCGACCGTTGGTGTGGCATTGGCTGGGCCATGTACATGCACCAAGGCTCAACTGGAGGGTGTGGGAACATCTCCCACCTCACCGAGATCCAGTGGACCGGGGCATGGACATGGGCATGGACTTCCTCCTGTCGTAAGCCTGGCACTGATGTCAAGGATTGCCCTTTCGAACGGATTCTTTTGAGACAAACGAAAATCTATGCATTTCGGTGAGAATGGAAGGTGAACACCCAGTTATATGGGAGGTGGGCTCGCAGTTTCGCTTTGGAACGCTAAGCGCTTTGTTACACTGACGGTGGACAGCTTTGTTTCATGCCATTCTACAGCGGCAGATTGGCGGACTGGTGTGAGGTGATATGCAATAGGAGGGCAGCCATTTGCTGCGCCGTAAACAAGACACCTTGATGTGGTGGTGGGTTGTGGTTGTTCACTAGTGAAGACAACACCGTGAAGGTTCTTCCTGAGGAACATAAACCAAGTACACTTGCTTTTGCTGTGCAGCTAAAGTCCTGAGTCCACACTGTCAGAAGCTACTGATTAAGATGAACTGATTTTAATCATGTTGGTCTCCCGAACGGCATTCAAGTTACACAGAGCCCGTTGCACTCCTCAAGCGTCACGCATAGGTGACACTGCCGATGGTGAAAGGGTGTGGGGTGCCGGTCACAACAGAACCCTCAATTTTGTGGATGTGAAATGATGTGAACTATCCAGGTGCAGAGTTGGAGTCATCTGTCACCCATAACGCACAGTGCTCAGTGCTGACTCAGTGCTGACAGTGAAGTCTCTGAGCCGTTCGATTCGACACCAAGGTATGCCTGTGCTTGGCCAGGCTTGCCGCTGCTCTCGACACTCAATGCGTTGCCCTTGTTGGGTTTCTTGACCTTCTCAAGGCCGGAGGTTCAGAAGAAAAAGCCGTTGAGAGAAACGGGTTGTTTAAATAGTTCCTGTAGTTCCTATAGATCCTCTAGTTGCCAAAATGCTGCTATTTTATTGGAGTTCTTTCGCCCTTTCGCCTCGCGAGCGGCCTTAAATCACAAGAAGGCTCATACACTTACTCACGTTTATCTCGCCGCCCACAATACGTAGAGAGTGCAGATGATAGCAGGTCCACTGCGAAAGGTTGACAAGAAGGAATAATGTTGATGATGCATTGCATTTGTGTTAGCATCATTCGGATCACAGATCCAAAGCAAAGAGAGAATTGGCACCTTCAAACATCACTGTTGTGTCCTTGACTGCATCAACTGCCCTGGATGACTGACAGCTGACGTGTGACGAGCGACAAAGAACCCAACTTGTGAGATCGGTCCGATCAATGAACATTCCAAAAAAACACTTTCTGGGACTCTGTTCTTATGTTTCACCAGTGGGCATGGGCCAACGAAGAGGACGCTTTTCTCCAGGAAGTCTCAGACCAAAGAGCAGTGGGCCTTCCGTCATTCGCTGTGGCATTACTTCCTCGCGATTGACATGCCCTTCTTCATGGTGTGCCCTGGCCTTGGAAAGCGCTACTAGGAGCAAGGACGCTACTAGGAACAAGAAGCTACTAGGGGCTCCTGGCATCGCTACTAGGAGCAAGGACATGCATAAGGCTTTCGGTGGACATGACCCTTCCGACTCGATTGAATCGGCCCACCCAGCCCACCCTGTCCAGTACTCAGTACACCCACAACTTGGGAGTCATCGCTACGCGATGAGACTGAAGTGGGAGGGCCCTCAGGGAACGCAACGCACCTGATCTGTAGGACAACAGGAGTGTTTTTTCCATCTCTCGGTGCTATTCAAGGTGTGATGTGTGTTAAACCTTAAGAACAGTGTCTAGGCCAGGCCACCATCTTCCCTTGTTTGGTTTCAACTTTCTGCACTGAGGCCCTCCGAGGCCTACTCCGAAGGTCATGACGAAATGGCCCATCAACCAAGTATTGAGAAGTCAATTGATTGATTTAAAACTCTTTCTTGATGCTGTTTGATGTTGCAACAATTTTTGAGAAAGGTACATCTCCCAAATCAAACGGATTAGCTTCATCAATGATGAAAGCCTCTGCAGGCTGTCAATCACTTCCAGAAACCTACAATTTGCTTTCCCACCCCAATGACAGCTGACACAACACCAGACTGACCAGATTCGAATCTAGAGATGCTTCAGGTTCGGCGCCTACAGCGGTGTTTGGTGAACCACCATGTGGATGAGCGGAGAAAAGCCGGGAGAAATCCTGGAGGATCAGTGAGCTTCTGAAACATCACGCATAATCTGCTGGGATATAATCTCTCTCTCTCTCTCCCCCTTTCTCGTTTGATGGAACTTCTTCGATCGACTGTAGGGGGAAAGCCTTTGGCTGCTGAAGTTTGTTGCCTCTCTCAACCAACAAGTATGTATCAACTGGGTGTGGAGAACCCCAGTTTATGCGGAGATGGACATCATTCCTCGAATTGAACGGGATTGTGGAGATGTTTGGAGATGTTTGGACTGTTTGGAGTAGAGGTGACCCGGTTGAGGCGCCCTGTGCCCTGCATGTTTCACATCGACATGCCACACGGATTGGCTAGATTTCTGGGATCAACTGCATCAAGTCTATTCGAGGGTTAGCGATTCGAGGTCGGCGGCCATCAGTGCGGTGGAAGGTAGCCGGCAGTGTGCAAAGGCGGGGAGATGAGTCTGAACTGCATCGGATGTTTCATAGTGCTAGTGAGCCTCATGTTTTTGAGTTGTTTTGGTGGGAATGGCTTCACACCATGAAACATTCATACAATCCAGTCTTGTCTGACTCTTGGGGTGTAGGTAGTCACATCAGAGGCATTTATGGGATTGGTCACCTGGTGATAGGAAGACGTGCAGAAGATCGTGCAAAGATATGAAACATACTATGATCAGAGGTTGCTAATGCGTTGCCTTAGAACATCTGAATGCCATACCCATTCCGGGGGCCCATTGCGCCTGATTTGTTCACATCACTCCAGTGTTGATGGTTTCCGTTGATTTCGCTGATCCGGGGCGAGTGCAGGCGTTAGAATCCATCGGCAAGCCACAGGCTCTGCTCGGTGAGGGTCGAAAGCTGTCAGCTGCTCGGTGGGGTTGTGCCACAGCATTCGGCGTGTCAAACAGGATAGACATTGCTTGAGAGACATGCCCAATTGAGGGGGACCTCCAGCCGTGTGAGTTGGCCGACAAACCAACACTGGATGATGTTTCTAGCTTTGACGGCTTCTCATGGAATTCGACAGATGGAGTCCAGGGCAAGACACACACGGTAATGTGACCCTATACCCGTGGCAATCATCCCAACATGAAGGAAAGTCGCCTATTGGCAAATGTTCATTTTCCGCTACGCTGAGTCCCCGAGTTTCTATTCAATTGTATATAGTTATATATGTATTTATACATACGTTTTTTCCGATCCACGCTCATTTTGCTTTTGGGTCCGCCCTTCCGTCCGTCCCTTTCTATGAGTGTCCATGACATCGCACATGGGAAGAACACCCGACCAGGCAGAATCGGAGGTGGGAGCGGATGAGACCGGATCCGGGGAAGCCATAGATGTTCAAACAAGCCAACAGAAGTCAGAGACTTGTCAGACTCCTCTAAACACTCAGAAAGTCTAGAGTTGAGCTGCCTTGGTAAGTAGGCTGGGTCAACAGCCGTAGGAGCCGTGCGTTGGGGCGTCCAGTTTCTTTTTGTACACAGCCATGGTCAGAAACTCTAGGAACCACCAAAAGCCGCAGTGGAAAAACCGCACCCTGCCGTGCCAAACACATGCACTCATGCGCCCAGAGTGCTGGAGGCCACCGATGCTGGTGAAGCCCGGCCGGACTCCGAGGCGCGGAATCTTGAAGATCCAAGCAATTAAGTGAGCAATTAATGGAGCCCTTACAAGGGGGGGCTCTATTAAAGGGGCTCAACAACCAATGGTTTTGCAAAATCACTTGGATAACCTTTGCTTCCAAACAGACGTTTAGTAGTCAGCTAGCAGCTAGGCAGTTTGTGCTCAAATCTGATGCTTCCGTTTGTCGACCACGACAGCTTGTTGTCAAACGTGCATCCAGTCAGAACCTACAAGTTGGAGGAGGATGCAAGCCCGTGAACGGTCTCAACTCAACATCGTCACCCAGGTAGTGCCTCCAAAGCATTGGGCTGTAGTGGTATGTGTTAAACATATGCCCTTTTGGTGACGGAACCCTTGGCATTAGCCCTACTCAACTCCAGCCAGGCAAACCAGGCCAAACCCCCTGAGACTCCAGTCTATTTTTCTGCAACATCAGCCAAATGGATCAACATGGTAAAAATCATATTCCCTCTACACGTTTGATCAACATAATTAATATATGTTTCAATTATTCTCCATCTTCCCTTATTTGGATGCCATCGCTGGTAGGTTGGAGGCCATCGCTTCTAGGTCGGAGGCCATCGCTTCTAGGTTGGAGGCCATCGCTAGTAGGTTGGAGGCCATCGCTTCTAGGTTAGACGCCATCGCTAGTAGGTTTGAGGCCCTTGGTAGAAGGTTAGGGGCCATCGCTTCTAGGTTGGACCAATAGGTTGGAGGCCATCGCTAGTATATAGGTTGCAGACCATCGCTTCTAGCTTGTAGGCTGGAGGCCATCGCGTCTAGGTTGGAGGCCATCGCTTCTAGGGTTGGAGGCCATCGCTTCTAGGTTGGAGGCCATCGCTTCTAGGTTGGAGGCCATCGCTTCTAGGTTGGAGGCCATCGCTTCTACGTAGGTTGGAGGCCATCCCTTCCAGGTTGGAGGCCATCGCTTCTAGGTTGCAGGCCGTCGCTTCTAGGTTCGAGGCCATCACTTTTAGGTTTGGAGCTAGGTTGGAGGCCATCGCTTCTAGGTTGGACCGGAGGCCATCGCTTCTAGGTTGGAGGCCATCACTGGTAGGTTGGAGGCCATCGCTTCTAGGGTTGGAGGCCATCGCTTCTAGGGTTGGAGGCCATCGCTTCTAGGTTGGAGGCCATCGCTTCTAGGTTAGAAGTAGAATTCTCCGCTGCACTGCCAACGGCCTCGCCCAGGCGAGCAGCGACTCGGAGCGCGAGGCGAAGCCACGGGCGCCGCTGGCCAACGCAGCGGTCAGGCGCCTGCTTTCGCCGGTGGGTTCGTTGATGGTCGTTTGGGGTTGGCTTTCAGAGGTCTGGAGACTGACAACATTACGGTACGGTATATATGAGAAACATATACGTAGTAGATTTATATATCCATTCCAACACTAGAGTTGGGCAGGCAGAAAAGATGATCGGAGGTTGCTTCAACGATCCTGTGCGTACTTGTTTGATTGATGGGCAATGGGCAACTCTAAAACTTTGCAGAGATCGACAAGCAGGGAAGGCGGCTTGGATCTTGGTATGTGCTATATTATATGCTTGTCATGCCACTTGTCGCGGTGGTTCAACGTAAAACCAGACCCTGACTTTAAGCATCAGGATTGACCTTCTTGGTCAATTTGGTCAATCTGGATGGACATCATTCAAGACGGACAACTTACCTCAACAGTCCCCTTTGGGTTGGACGTCTGGGTTTCTCCTCACGAGAGGACACGAAGGCAAGATGGAAACTGATTTGACATCAGCATCAGGTTGAAACACTCGCTTTTTGGTATTGGAGCGCTATACGAGCACTGTATTTTCGACGCTCTTCAGAAACATCCAATCCCTGCGAGGCGTTTGGTTGCCCAGAGGAATAACAATCACAAGGCGGGAGCGAAACGGAACGAACAAGGCCATGGATCGCCACACCACGGCCAGCGAAACAAAGCAATCGTCACACCGGGATGGATCAAAGTCATGGGGCACGCGGGGAGCAACCTCATCTTCCCGGATGGAGCTGCACTTCAAGGCATGGCGCGGCATGTTTTGGGCCGCGTCTGAAGCTTTCTGGAGGTCAAACTCCTGGCTGATGACCAATCTCTTCAGTGGCCCAATCCCCCCACTTTCCCTCCCAAACAAGGTGCTGCAGCGCTTGAATGCGGAGATTCTGGGACATCAGCGGAATGTGCCTCGGCTCGATCGACCACATGACGACACGGCTTGTGGCTTCACAAGTCTACTGAGCTTGTGGCTTCACCAGTTCCTGCCTTGTGAGCGGATCGGACATGGAGAAGTTTCATGATGTCTTCGATGTTTGGAGACTTAGGGTTTTGGATGGCAGGACATGGAACTCTCTGTTACACTGACCTGTGCGCAGCCGTTTGGGGCCGATCGGTTCCCGGGGCAGTGGCCAGGCACGTTGGGGTTCCGTGGGTGTGAAGCGCTTGAAAGCACAAACCTTGAAATGATTCCTCATCAACATCAGCCAATTAGGAGCCAATAACCAAAGGTAATTCTCATTATATAACACCGTGCGTGTGCAACCACAACCACCTTGATGTATTGTTTTGACCCCAGAGCTTTACACCTGTGAGATGCTTCAACTTTCCTCTTCACATGCGTCCAACCTGTGACTTTGTTCTTTGGCACTGGACTTGCGGACCAAAAATAATTGACGACCGGAAGGCCGATGTTGAGTGAGAGCAATGCCCTCATCGAAGATGCCGCGACCGAGAGGACCGAGAATCCGATGGATTGTCATCCTCTCAAGGGAGATTCTGATATTTGTGCAATTGCTAGTTTGGTGGCTTCTTAAGAATACTGTAGCATGTGCATGTGCCCTTGCCTAGCAGTCTCACCAATCTTCAGTCTGACGGTGGCCATTGTCTTTCTGCAAAGAAGAACCATTCACCTCGCATCTGTGGAAAGATCCTTCCAAACCCTTCGTTCCCGATTTTGCCATGCGACCTCCCAGGAGTCCTCCCAACATTTTTGGCGTTCGCAACTCTCGAAGCACGGGCCTGATTTGCGCCGTTGTCCTGATCATCGGCTTGATCTCCCTGGTGCTAAGAGAGAGGCGAGGCGCGAAAGACCCGCCGATCGACTCGATGATTTCGACGCCTCGCTCCGCCTTGCGAGGCGTCTAAGAGGGACAGCCTTCCTCGCCAAGAACTTGATGGAAGGCACTGGCATGGGGAGATGTCTTGACCATGGAGGGTGCCCTTGTGCAATGCAAGACATGGGCGCCCTCTTGATCTTCGGTGGGATGAGCGACGTTGCAAGGTCCCAAGTGTCCATTTTCAGGGAATTGTCCAAGTACATACGGTATCATGGGAGGTTTCTGGCTTCAGCTGTGACTGCAGACTTGTTGGTGAATGAGTAGCTGTGGCTTCAGCTCATGTTCCATAATCCGCTTTGGCATGCCAGGCTTTGACAATGATTGCTACCAAGTGGGCATGTACTACGCGGACCCAGCGTCCCGTCAGCAAGACTTCCGCCTTAAACCACTGAACAACGTGTGGTCCGTCCAGAGAGCTGGGGTGAACCTCCACCATTGTGACCATCGTGGCATTTGGAGACCAACTCTGCCAGAGTGGGATTTGGAACATCCCCGTGTTGTCGAAAGGCATTCCGAAAGTGGGATGAAGTCGGATGAAGCCAATAGGCCCAGGCCACCAATTTCCCAATCATCGCCACTCGCGGGCACGCTGAAGTCCGCTAGACTGAACCCAGTAATTTCTGTAACTGGAGAAATCGTCCTTCATTTTGTTGGGAGAACACATTCACGGTCGCTCCGAGGTCCGATTGCCCAACCTCTTTCGATCGCTGCAGCCGGATGCAGAAGCTTGCCAGGTGGTGTGAAGGAAACAAACCCATTTGGTCAGCTGAGTCAAGGTGCTGTTGCTTTTTTCTGTTGAATTGATGTAGACGAACGTAGATGTCGCAATTTCAAATGAATCCATAGCCGGAAGCGTCCCATTTCGCTGGATGCCTTCGCAGGGAGAGTGTGCGATCAGCATAGGACTCTTGGCAGATTGGGAATGAGGAGTCATTCTTGCAGTTCATTGTGTGTGCCGATTTGCAGAATACCCTTGATGGGGAAATTAAGCCAAGCCTACCAAACAGTAGTGGGTATTTCATATCATATCCAATCATATCCAAGGTGGTCCAGGCTTGCTTGATTTAACATTGGGGGATCATTTTTTGGAACTCTGCCAGATCAGAAAGGGAACATTGGCAAAACATCATTTTTGCATAACAGCGACAAAGGAAGACAGTTCTTTGTCGTGAAGGTAGCCGGGCACCCAACCAAGCACTCCAAGTTTCAGGGCATTAGTCTGTCCGAAGTGAAAGGGTGCCTCTGGTAAAGTGAAAGGTCATCTTCCAAACTTCTCTGCGGCTTGCTAGATTGCTTGCAGGGGGTGGTCTCTTTAGAGCTTCTTACGTCGCCCATCAGCCCATCGCTGCCCGCTTCCGTTGGGCGTTTCGGGTCCCGCCAGATCTGGGTGTCAAACATCCCCGCACCCCCAATCGAGTAAAACAAATTCAAGGTCATCAATCGTTTTCATGGATGTTTATTTAGGTTTGGACCCACCTAGGACCTAGTGGATGTTAGGATCAAAAGTTCCTTCCTTTTTTGTACGATGGGTTTGATGTGATCCAGGTGCGACCCCAAGGTGCTGCACCCAATAGCTTCTCAATAGGTTTGGACGATTGTGCCCATCCAACAACAAGGCTGCACGCACTTTACCTATTGGCCCGACGGCGGCTGCCTTTTGACGGGGCCCAGCTCCACTTTGAAGGACCGAGTGTTCGTGCGACTGACCGAGCGGACCGTGTGTTTAACCACATGAATAGTCCGAGCGCTTCTTCAAGGAAGCTCCCCGCCGCCTTTAGGGTGGTGGGGGGAGCTTCCTTATCCTACGCCCAGTTACTAGAAGAGTCCTAATGAATAGCTACAAGAGCTACCTCTCTTTAGCGGCCAACCCCCCCCGGGTCACTAACAATAAAACTGAAAGAATATGTGAAACATTTAAAAACACAGTTTTTATCGCTTTTGCAGGGTGACATGACACCTTTCGAGCCCCAAGGGAGCCCGCCTTTGGGGCAACATTGACATGGGTTCTTGGATGATTCAACCATTTCCGGTGTGGGCCGATCTATACATTTTTTTAAATGTAGATTAAGGAGACACCTGTTGTTCCGCATGAGTTAAACAATCATGTAGAATAATGTAACGTTCTTGCTTGAACATGTAGGATACATTGGTTAAATACAGTAGAGATTTGCAGCAACGTCAATCTTTCGAAGGCCATGAGTTGGTTCACACATTTTTTAGACTAGACGCTTGTAGGGAAAGACGTGAGTCTGGACAAATGCTCTTTTGCTTCTAATCCATCACATTGATGGAGACTACATGGTTCCGCTGTTGTATGGGCGATACCATCATAGCCCGATTTTCGTACACCTACATGTGAATGAACTCGTTGTGAACATGTGGTGAACTCCTCTGCGGAAGCCTCGCACACTATCAGCATCGCACGGAGGCTGCTCCAGAGCCCTACACCCGCACGATTACCGGTCCAAGGGAATGTCCGGAGGCTGGTCTGGCGAGTTGAAAGCTAGATACTTGTGGAATTGGAGGTTTCCCGTAAAATGGGTTTGTTTGAGGTCTGGATCCGCTGTGGCAAGTCAATTTACAATAAGCTAACCAAATCATCATCCAACCCTGGTGCATTTGTAAGGGTTCGTTGAACGTGAAATTGCCGGTGTCCATGGTTTCGCAACTTGTAACTGTTGAGACCAATCCTTGATTCGCTTCATGATTGCGTGCGATGAGCTCAGAGCAAAAGCGAGTCAGCCTCCTTTCATTTGTCACATGCTACGATTTGATCGGCCATGACCTCCCACAAATCTGCACCCCCTCTGAAGACAAAAGTAGCCAGGGTGCAGACAGATGAACAACTCCTCTCCCAGTTGCATCCAGTGGCCCAATTGATACTCTTTCGGCCCGAATCATAGATCTTGCTACCCCGAGCCACAGCTCCGGTTTTCATCACCTCTCATCCAGCCCTTCTGAAACCCCGACGTGAAGCCAACTTACAGTAGATCATAGATCCGGGATGGAGCCATGAGCCGGCGGGGCACGGTGAAGTTCTACAACTCCGTGGATGGCTATGGCTTCATCCGGAGCGGCAGTCAAAGCCGACCCGGAGCGCCGGAGGTGGGGCTTGGTGGGGGGGAGATGGGAACCGAACAGGTGTACCAGACCAGATCCAGATGCCAGAGAGGACCTTTACTGCAGCGTTGTCTTTCCGCTTTTTTGCTTAAGCTTAAGAACAGCAGGGGAAGCAGGTCTGGGGCGGTTTCGCAGAGGCTTCCAATTGATGCTTCGGACAGTATTGAGCCTGTGGTCAAGAATAGGTGAAGTCGTCCATTTTTGCTCATAAACTTTGTGGTTTCTGGCACCTCCCCTCGTTTCGGTTTGCATCCATAGACCAGCCAATCCCATCGCAGGTCTACGTGCACCGGTCGGCGATTGCCGATGGGCAAATGCTGGTACGAGGGGACCAGGTCTGCTTCGATGTGCCTGGGTTGGCCATTTCAGATGCCAAAAGAAATCACGATCCCCATCTGGCCACCCCGGGGGGCGAGGATGAAGAGATCATTGAGACTGTGCCAGATGGAGTCCCTCACCAGGTTTTTGTGAACTTGCATACCCTGTGCTTCGGACGTTGAAGAACAAGTTTGGCTTGCTTCTTTAATCTATTGTTGCAGCTCCTAACTAGAGTCTATGTTCAAAACCTTTTTCAGCTTGTGGCAAGTGCAGCAAGCCGACTCTGAACTCACAGTGGTGCCTCTCGAACCAGGTCGTTACGAAGACAAAAGAAAGACCCCCGAAAGCAGCATCTAAGTGACTACGCTGCCTCATCCTCATCCTCACCCCGTACAGCGATCTGAACATGTGGGCGCTGAACATCTCCAGCGCCGCAGAGGTCATCGAAGAGGAGGGACGCCTGAACGCCTTGCGCGTCACGGGTGGCTCTGGCGGGTATGGCCTCACGCACGGCTGCAAGGTGGATAGAAGCACGGTGAAGGACCTGTGCCTCGGCAATCTGAAGAGCTGGGGTGGTGACGTTGCGAAGCAAGGGTTAAGCTCTTGGACGCTTGATCTTAAAGGTGGAT